TTCCTGGGTTCGAATCCCAGTTCGACCAAACCTTTTTGCCCGAATTACCAACCAAATCGCCGCACAAATTCACGGAATCCACGGCATCGGCTAACCGGCGCGCTCGACGGCCAGCTTACCCGGAAGATCGCAAGGGCCACCTCCTCCTTCCACTCCAAGCACAAGCCAACTCTGCATCTCCACATCCACCACTTCCCCAGCTCACAACTCTCGCATCATTGGCGACAGTCTCGATCGCTCGCCATGAACCCGCCAACACCGCCACTGGCGCGCGTGCGCACACCAGGGTACGCGGGCTACTCGATCGCATGGTCGCCCTTCTTCGAACAACGACTCGCGGTGGCCTCATCAGCAAATTACGGCTTGGTGGGAAACGGACGGCTGCACATTCTCTCGCTCGCACGCAACGCATCTGCGCCCCATCCGAGTCTGGTGGTGGACAAGGTGTTCGACACGCAGGATGGACTGTACGACGTTGCGTTCAGCGAGGCACACGAGAACCAGCTCGTCACCGCGTCCGGCGACGGATCCATCAAGCTGTGGGACTGTGCATTGCAGGACCATCCGATCCGCAACTGGCAAGAGCACAACAGGGAGGTCTTCTGCGTCGACTGGAACAACATCAACAAAAACGTCTTTGCCAGCTCCAGCTGGGACGCCAGCGTCAGGTTGTGGCATCCAGAAAGGCCCAACAGCATCATGGCCATCACCGCGCATACCGGCTGCGTCTATGCATGTGCTTTCTCGCCACATTCGCCCGATCTGCTCGCTACAGCGTGTGGAGACGGCCATCTGCGGCTGTTTGACCTGCGCCAACCAGCCGCGCAACCCACGGCAACCGTGCCCGTCGGAGGCGAGGTGCTGTGTCTCGACTGGAACAAGTATCGGCCCATGACCATAGCTACCGGCAGCACCGACCGCGTCATCAAGACGTGGGATCTGCGTAATGCCGTGTCTAAGCCTCCAGGTGCCATGGCGTCACCGCTCGATGTCGCAACGCCGCTGGCGGCGATCCTGGGCCACGAATACGCCGTGCGCAAGGTCGCCTATTCGCCGCATGCGCCCCAGCTGCTTGCGAGTGCAAGCTACGATATGACCGCACGCATATGGGATGCCGACGCAGCAGCACTCAGTGGGCCGCCCAGTGTTGTGCAGCCACCACCGCAACCGGGGCAGGGCCCCAATGCTGCGGCGGCGGGCGCCATGCGCAAGATCCACGACACACACACCGAGTTCGTCGTAGGCGTAGCATGGAGCCTCTTCCAAGACGGCCTGGTGGCCAGCACCGCATGGGACTCCGAAACGCATCTGTGGGGGGTTCACTAGCTTGGCAATCGCAATCCAATGTCGTAACAGAGTCAGGCCTGGCGATTGTGTGAGTGTGTCGAGTGTGTTGAGTGGGCTTCGATCGTGGGGCGATTCGGTTGTCAGTGAATATTCAATTTGGCGCGGCTGAAGGCCACGTTTTGGTGCGATTTCGCGTCAGGGTTGCAGTCGGCGAGTCATCTTTGCATTGCGGGGTGGGTCGTGCGTGCTTCTCTGCGTACCACCACGATCAGGCAAGCTAGTCTCGAGATGACTACCTCTGCCATCTCGCCCGGCGGGGCCGTGGAGAGTACACCGCTGCTGTCGGTGGCTCGGCAGCGGTATGCGATCCACTCACCTTCGGAAGCCTCTACCACCTCCGAGTATACGCCGCAGGCCGACTTGGTGGACATTACCAAGGACCGCTACGACCTCTCGACGTTCAAGGGTCGTCTGCTGCATTTTGCCTCAGTCACCTCGCCGCTTACGCTGCTGGCGTCGAATGCCGAGCTCAAGGCCGCCCAGGAGACCGTGGCGAGCTACGAGGCCAAGTTCCCCGCCAACCGCACCACAGGCACGTTTATGGTGCCGCGCTCCGAGGCGGAACGGTACTGGAAGGCCAAGCAGCTCGTCGACTCGTCCGTGCACCCCGATACGGGCGAGGTGATTCTGCTGCCGTTCAGGATGGCCGCATTTGTGCCCACCAATCTGCTCGTGGTGGGCGGCATGTTGATGCCCAACCCGAGTCTGGCGGGCATCGTCTTCTGGCAGTGGGTCAACCAGAGTCTCAACGTAGCGGTCAACTACTCGAACGCCAACAAGAGCGTGCCCATGAACATGAAGGAGGTCGGGCTGGCGTATGCCGCGGCCACGACGAGCGCCGTGGGCATCGCGGTGGGCATGAGCCGAGGCGTGCCCAAGCTGCGCGTCAGCCCGGGCGTCAAGGGCGTTCTTACGAGTCTGGTACCCTTCGTCAGCGTGGCCAGTGCGGGTATAGTCAATATCAGCTGCATGCGCTGGAAGGAGATCAAGGACGGCGTCGGCGTGTACATCCGCGATGCAGAGGGCAACCGCCATCATGTCGGAGACAGCTCCAAGGCGGGCCAGCGTGCCGTGGCCATGACCGCTGCCTCGCGCGTCCTCACCAACAGTAAGTTCACCCGCATCTCTGCCGCACGTTACCTCCTATAGTACCAAGCTGACTTTTATGTGGTCTGGCTTTGCAGTTCCGACGTTGATCCTGCCGCCACTGGCACTCAAGTTCCTGCAGCGCGCACGCGTGATCCCCGCCAGCGGCGCCCTCACGCGCGCCGTCGACTTGACCCTCATCGGCACCAGTCTGCTCGTCTTCCTTCCGCCCGCCATCGCCACCTTCCCGCAGGTGGCCAAGACGTCGCCACAGACGCTCGAGCCCAAGTTCCACCACTTGACCGACCCCGAGGGCAACCCCATCACCCAGGTCGAATTCAACAAGGGACTCTAGAACCGCGCATACAACTCATACGATTCACACACGCAATGACACAGACGTAGACGCCACACACGCCAGGTGGATTGGTGGCAATGCTGATTTTCTGATTGAAGTGGATCCGAATGAGAGAAAGAGGATCGCGGCGCCCACACATGCCAGCTGCGGCAAGGTATATGACATTGAGTGGGCGGAGTCGAGTCCATTGTTGCGAGAGTGCGAGGAACTACTTGTTCTTCTTGATCACGACGCCCTCGTCACCGCTGGACGAGGCATCGGACTGGTCGTCCGAGAGACCTTGAGCGGCCGCTTCGGCCTTGGCGACGGCCTTCTTCTGTGCGAGAGTCGCCTTTTCGCTCGCGGCAGTGACGGCGAGCATCGGGTCGTCCTCTTGCCTCGGTGCGCGGTACGAGCCGCCCATGCGATCGCAAACGGTGAAGTACTGGCCGTAGTTGCACGTAAAGAAGAGGTGGTGGAGCGTGTGGTGCGAGGGTCCGTTGATGATCTTCTCGAGCGGCGAGTTGCAGATCATGTCCGAGTCGTGGATAAGGATCGACCACAGGTTGACAAACACAAACAGCCAGATCGACACCACGCGGTGCAGCGGAAAGACGAAGGGAAAGATGTGGTAGGGCAGCGACTGCGCATAGCCGTCGAGCGGGTGGAAGGCGTGGCTGGCAAATGGCGTGGGCACGAGCCACTTGTGGTGCGGCTTGTGCACGTGCTTGTACAGCCGCGGGTGGTGCTCGATCCTGTGCACCCAGTAGATCAGGAAGTCGGTGAACACAAGGAAGAGCGGCACCGAAAGCACCGCGTACGCCCAGCCGTAGTCCGAAATGCTGTTATACAGCTTGCTGTGCCCTCGCACCTCGAGGACGAACCAGGGGACGGTCAGAAAGTCGAGCGGCAGAAACGCGCGCATCGACGACTGGATCTCGAGCTTGACCTGGTTCTTGAGGAAGCGCGGGTGCTTCTCCATCTCCTTGTTGAAGATGTACTTGTACGAAAGGCCGGCAAAGGTAAAGTAGAGCACCAGGATGCCGATGTAGGTCAGGACGAGCAGCGATACGGTCTGGCGCACCACATTGTCGCGTGGCAGCGCCGAGACGCTCTGAAGCGCCGACCAGTTGACCGCCTCGCCGCCGAGTGCCGACGCGACGGCGTTCTTGAGCACCGTGTTCTCAAACCAGCTCGAGGGTGACAACGCCGAGGTGCTTGCGGATGCTGCCCACGATGCGGCGTCCTTGAGGCCGAGCAGATGCGAAAAGTTGGATGCGGATGACGCAGACGCGAGCGAGGCTAGCGCCGTGGGGTCCTTGGCGAAGGCGCGGGGGAGCGCGGGCAGGGCGGTGGCCCACACCTTGTCGAGCGCATAGGTGTCTGCAAGTTCGAGCACGAGATCCATGATGGCAAATGCTTAAGACGCGGTGGGGTTGATGTCGGTCTTAGAGTGGGGCGGCGATGCACTGCGCGGTCGATCGCGGGGGTGGCGCGTTCGGTAGATGTGCGGATATGAAGCAGCCGAAACCGACGGTGGCGAATGCGAAATGACCAAGCGGCGCGTCGAGTCGAGCTGGGTGCGAAGATGTCCTAAGATGTGCTGTTCGGTCGAGGCGAGAAGAGCGAAAGACCGATCTATCTGTGGGCGACTCGAGCTTGTCGAGCTGGAAAAGGCGATGCGGCTGGATCCAGAAGCGCGGTGGCTTTTGTAGGCCAGAGGGAAGATGCAAGCAAGACCGCGACGAGCGTGTCTGCAGGGGGCGAAGACTAGGAGAAAGAGACGGGAAGTGCCTCTGTGTCGGATGAATGGACGGGTGTAGGAAGAGAAGAGTATAAAGTTGTGAGCATACGATTGAGCGTCTCGGGCAAGAGTGGTCGGTCACAATGTCGGGCACAGACGAAGAATGCGAATCGCTCGCTCACTGCGCTGCGCTGCTCTTCGCTCACAGCAGGAAAGTTCGGTGGCGGATGAGCCGACACACACACTCTCTCTCTCTCTCTCTC